TAGCTGAATGAAGAAGATATTGAAATTATGGCAGACAACATTTGGAACCAAACCCCCCCCCCCCAAAAAAAAAAAACTGTGATGTTGCAGTGCCCATCGGATAAGTTAGAGTGAATTAATAATACACCTAAAATTTGAAAAATGTGATTATCATAAAGTTGATCGACGTCTTCATATGGATAGGTTGAGACTAAAGATATTAGAGGTTTAAGAGTGGGTTTTTCCCGGTTTGGCCGTCGGCAGAAATATCTTTTAATTTATAGCCCTTCCAATTTAATAAAACAATTCAATGTCGACAGACTCGATCTAAATTAAAAGGAAAATAATGTACTACTATATGGTTATTTATATAATATTTTTTCGGGTAAAAAATATATGTAATATTGTTACTTACTGGTGTAACGTTTGCTATAGACATATACCAGTTAATCTATATCATATTTCTTATAATTAACTAACTTACCTAACTTTTTTAATCTAACGGGTAAAAAATATACGTAAGATATGTTACTTACTAGTATAATGTTTGCTACAGACATACACCTGTCAATCTACGTCATGATCATTAACTAATACGAAGCTAATAATGTATGATCGCCTGCAGACATTGTAAGCCACAAGTCAGTTTCATTTGACTTTGTATCATCATTTGAAAATTAATTATTCCGTCTAAATATAATTATTATACTACCTCCGGTTTTAAACATAGGAACTAGCAAAGGATTTTTTTTTTTTGGGGGGTTGGAAGCTAAGAAATTTATTTTGATTTGAAAGACAATATTTTAGTTCAGTTCACCTCCCAAACCAATAATTTTTTTTCAAAGTGTCCCTATTGATTAGATATAATTACTGAGAAAATTTTCATCGAAGGATATTTATAATGTATATGATTAGAAAGTGTATTCTACAAAAATCAACACATTTTTGTTATAAATAATTAACTTTATTAATTTTTCATGATACTATGATAGGTTTTAATTTTACAATGGAAACTGGCTCGATCCTTACGTGACAGCTTTGAGATGTTGACATCTTGCAAATAGGGGCATATTCATATTAATATTGATTGAAATTGATAATAGGATGAAATTTTAATTAAAATAAGCATGTAATATTATCAAAAGATATATATATCTATCGTTATTTCATTACAAAATTTAATAGTAAAAATAATGAAAAGAATTAGTAATTTTCCCCCCTAAAAATACGTTATTTCTTGCTGTACGTGAATAAAGAGTGTCAAAATTTCCCATGTGTCACGTCTGAAAAGGGGGAAAAAGTATGGCATGCACGAACAAATTAAGCATAGACATGTTTGAACTAACATTGAATGAAAGCATGATGAATGAGCTGTGCTGTGTTATATATCGCTATTGAAGAGTATGGGTTGCTATAAATTAATTGATAAGATGATCATCATATATATATATGTATGTATTATACTATTGAATATTTATAACTATAACTACTCCCTCCTAAATAAAAAATCTAGTTAATTAACCTATGAAAAATAAAAAAAATTGGCTAAATTACTCATTTATATTTATTATATAAAAATATGCTTCATTTTTTAAAAAACCCTTCTTTTGATGACGATATTATGAGGGTAAAGAAAGTGAGAAAAAATATGAGGTTAATAAGAATCGTATGAAAGAAATATTTTTTAATAAAATTTAAATTTTATATTTCAGACCTATATTTACTATAGAGGTAAGATAATATTTGTTTGGGTTAATATAATCTTTAGTTCTTCAAAAATATTCTCATTTTAGTTTTGATCCTTCAAGTTTCAGATCGTAAGTTTTGATTCCTCAAAGGGTAAAATAGTCTAAGTTTTTATTGAAATATAAATACCAATATTTTAAATAGAAAAAAAATTGAAGGACAAAAACTAAAATAAGAGTAAACTCGAGAATCAAAAATTATATTAATTCTATTTTCTATTTGAAAAATCAGACCCTAACAACCTCAAATTGGAAATAAGATCAAACCTGAGTGATCTCTCATTTGTTGCTTTCGTGTTACTAAGCTACAAGTTGACCCGCAAGGAGTAAACACTGCCAGTATTGGGATTATCGATAAATATGTTTTAAAAAAAAGAATTTGTCTTAATTTATATAAAAATATTTTTTTCCCATAAATGTATTTTTGGCGGCTTACCAAACACCTCAATTGCGCGGAAGGACGTTAAAGTGAGGGAAAGAACATGAGAAGGAAAAAGTTGGCAATGAAATCATGCATAGCGTGTATGAGTTCAGCGGTACGCGGAGCGTGTGAGACGGGAAAACCTAACACGCATGCAGTATGTGTGCCCTTCCCAATTACACCTCTGCTCTAATCATAGCCCTTCCCTTTCCGTCATTTTCATTTTTTGCAAGCTCTTGTTTAAAAGAGAATTAATGTGAATGACAATTACCAATTACTTTTCCGATCATTAATATAGGACCTATTTAACTAATTTGATTAGATTAAAAAAATTAGGTAAGTTAGTTAATTATAAAAAATATGACATGTTTTTCCTAAAACAACATAACCATCTTTCTTAATACCCCTTCTCTCTCTTCTACTTGATTATGGTTGAGGGAGTATCTATAAGAGTAATATAGAAAAATTAATAAATATAAAAAATGGGTCTTATATTTAGAATCAAAACCAACTCAACAATTAGATTCTATATTAAGAACCAGAGGAGTATCATATTGGAACCCATTGATAATTAGTTTTTTTTTTTTTAACATCTCGTTATGATTTTCCTTTAAACCAAATCATTCTTTTTTCTTATCTCTCTTTTTTTTTTGGATGAAATAAAATACAATGGAATCTCTCGTAAACATGAATACCATCAAAATCAAAATATGAAATACACATTACTAAGAGTGAATGTGTGATTTGAATATGCCATGTGCCTCCCTCTCCCCAAGAGATGGGAGGCTTCCTTTCCATGCATGCCTGCCACGTGTCTCCCCATACTCTCCTTCCAAAACTTCACTTTTTAGTTTGTTCCCATTTTCCTATCAAGTCTTTGCCACCCCGGCCGGCCGCCCCTAAGTCTCATATTCTTCGATAGTTTAACCTCGTTACCTAGCTCCTTCGATCATACGAAGCACTGGATAACGCTAGATTAAAAAAAAAAAACATGAATTATACTAATACATCAGATACATTGAGCAAAAGTATTAAATATCCTTTAAATTTTATAATTTGTCTTACAAACAGAAACAAACACGTAATGAAAGATAGTTATTAGTCAATTCATTAAATTTATTGAAAATACAAAAAATGCCAAATTTATTTATACTTGAAATCATGAAAACATATTGATGAGAAGTGAAAAAATTGTATTTAATTTTAAACAGGAATGATGTTGGAAAAATATAATTAATATTTTACTTCATGACTTATAACGGAAGCTTAATTTTTCCTTTTAGAAAATGAATTAGGAAGTACTCAGTAATATATCGCAATGAACTAAAATGAAATTTGGTTGAATTAATGAGTGGCCAGAAAAGAATTAATGTGTGGGGCCAAATGGTGTAGCCGCCCCATGAGGACAAGGCTGGGGCGCATTCCTCGTATGGTAATAAGTTGAGTGTCTTTGACTCGTGGGCCCCCTTTTTCTTTTCTTCAAGGCCGACCATTCCTTAATTACTTTCCAACTCTTTCTTCTTTAGTATTCGCTTCCATATTCCTCCAATTTACGTATTCTTACAATCTCATCATGTTTTTTCCAGGTCCCAAAATAAAAAAAAAACACTTTGATCATATTTTACATGTTTACCATCCTCGTATTTTTAAGCTCATCATCTCTAAAATGAGTAAATGACCATTCCTTACTTGTATTTTTTTTTTGGGCGCTTAATTACATTATAATTGAGGATAAGATGCTTCAAAAAAAAAAACTAGGCTGATGTTGCGTTAGCAGGATAATTAAAAATAAGATACACGTCTTCTTTTAATTTGGCTATGCTCTTAATAAATATATAATTTTTATAATTTGTAACTAAAAAGTTAGGCTGGCAGAAAAAAAACTAGAAAGTTAATTATATGTTTTTACACACGTCATTATTATTAGGAAATTACATACTATTATGCTTTTATTAAAATATAAAATGAGGAACCCACAAACTACTGGACATAAGTTTTTTTGGCCCAAAAAAAAGCTTTTTATTTTTTATTTCCTAACTCTTTTACTTCAGGTTAGAGTTATAATTAGTCTTTCAGTCAAAGACACACACACACAGGTAACTTCCGACCAGTGTTTCCCTAGAAATGTTCCGAATCTATTGCTTCCCCTGTTAAACAAGTCTTCCAAGCTCAAAGGATATACATAGGACCACTTAACATTTAGGGGGGGAAAACAACGTAACAAAGCAAGTCTCATAAATGTCACAGCTTTTAATATCCCTTTTTACACACATGGGAATTAGAAAGCTAAAGCTATTCACCGCGATACTATTCTTTCACTCTTTATACTTATTTTCAAATATATAAATCTTAAATGAGAGAGGCCGTGGGTTCAAAATCTAAGAGAGTATGTGATGGATATGTGAGTGGGTTTGTGTTCGCGTTTTTTTTTTTTCCTTTAACGCGAAATGATTAGATCGGTGTAAAAGTTAAAAAAAAAATGTAAATCTTGGAGGGGCAAAAAATAAAACTTGAAAATATTTACATAGAATTCAAACGTGTATATTATATTTAGAATTGGCTGAGTCAAACATTGTCACGTGACACGCAGGATGGCGAAGGAATTCAGTCAGTGATTCTTCATTTCTTTCCTCGATGGTCGGCAAAAGAAGGCTTGGAACTTCAAAGCAGACTTTGCCATTTATGGCTTTCTCCTCTGCCTATAAATTCCCACCCTCTTTTCTCCATCTCTGCACTTCATCGCTAACAACTCTATCTCTAATATCTTCTTGATCTTTCCCTCCTTAACACACAACACTACTGTGACCCTTCAACTTATCGTCTTCTTCGTGTTCTTTTTATTCAAATATTGAAAGATGGGTTTTGGAAATGAGAGCCACGGGCTTCTTTCAAGGATGGCAGTGAATGACCAACACGGAGAGAACTCTGCTTATTTTGATGGATGGAAGGCTTATGACAGAGACCCATTTCACCCCACACACAATCCTCACGGGGTTCTCCAGATGGGTCTCGCAGAAAATCAGGTTTATACAACCACAGTTCCGATATTATAGAACACTATGATTGCAAGGTGTTTGATATGTTGACTGACTTGTACATATGGGTTCTTTTCATTTTTTCCCTCTCAGCTCTGTTTTGATCTGATACAAGAGTGGATGAGAAATCACCCGGAGGCTTCCATTTGCACTCCCGAAGGGCTACACCACTTCAGCGATGTTGCTATCTTTCAGGACTATCATGGCCTCCCCAAGTTCACAAAGGTATAAACATATATCTATATATATATATGATATATATCAACTATATGGTATAGGGTTGATACTGAGAAATGGGCTTTTTTACTGTGTGCGATTTGCAGGGTGTGGCAAACTTTATGTCAAAAGTGAGAGGAGGAAAGGTGAAGTTCGATGAAAGTCGTGTAGTGATGAGTGGGGGGGCCACGGGAGCAAACGAGGTCATAATGTTCTGTTTGGCTGATCCTGGAGATGCTTTTCTCATTCCCACTCCTTATTATCCAGCGTATGTACCCTCTATTTTCTATGTCCTTTCAAATTCAATGTATCTTCCCGTCCCACTCACCTATAGTTAAGAAGCAAACATATATATGTGTGTGTTAATATTCTCTCCCTTTGAAATTGGCGTTAGAAACACAATATCTTTGTCTTGATCAAAGAGGAAATTAGTGACTACAAATACTTAATTAAAAATCAACAAGTAATTAAAGTCCTTTTGCAGTTGGCATTATTGAAATCTTATTTGTACAGCTAACTGCTTCTCTGTCGGAATAAGAACTAAAACAATTAACTGTTCATTCGACCATGAAGAGAAATATACATTGATCGTGATAAATAAGGTTTTTTATTATTATGTCATATATTTAATGTGTGACGAAAATTAATACTTTGACACGATTCATTTTATTTATAGTCAATTTGTGACAGTAAAAAATTCTTCATATGACTACTAATTTCTCATCTACGGAACTCCGTCAGCTCACGGTCTCAAGACATCATATTGTCCAAAAGATATTTTTCAAATGGGAATCGGTTCAATGAATTATTGCATACATATAGGTCAAAAAGATTTGGGTTTTCATTTTTTTTTTTAAATCCAAAAGAGAACACTGAATTAACAAAAGCTTAGTGGACCCTGCAGCTTGCAACTGACCTTTGGAACCATATGAAAACCTCCATGAATGATCTTTTGCAATTGTTAATCTTGTTAAGTGTCTAAACATCATCCCTTTTGCTCTTTCAATGCCCCAGTAATCTATTATGGACCCCTATTGTGCATTAGTCAAAACAAGAGACTTTGTCAGGATCATAGACGACAAGCTTAATTAATTATCCAAGTCCAATACGTTCGTTGGTACATATTTATAAGAATTATGATATATATGGTTTTACTCATATATATTTCAAATTCAATTTCAGATATGCTCGTGACTTGTGTTGGCGAACTGGTGTACAAATAGTTCCTGTCCACTGTGATAGCTCCAACAACTTCCAAATAACTAGAGACGCTCTTGAAAGAGCCTACAAGAAAGCTGAAGAAGACAACATCAATGTGAAGGGTTTGCTCTTAACCAACCCATCAAACCCTTTGGGCACCACCTTAGACAGAGAGACGATGAAAAGCCTCGTAACCTTCATCAACGAAAAGAACATCCATTTAGTATGTGATGAAATCTATGCAGCCACAGTGTTCAGCACACCAAGCTTTGTAAGTGTCTCTGAGATCATCCAAGACATGGAGTTCTGCAACAAAGATCTCATTCACATAGTCTATAGTCTTTCAAAGGACATGGGCTTTCCTGGCTTCAGAGTTGGCATTATTTATTCATACAACGACATTGTCGTCAGCTGTGCTCGCAAAATGTCAAGCTTTGGATTAGTGTCTTCACAGACTCAACACATGTTGGCTGATATGCTCTTAGATGATGATTTTGTTGATAAGTTTCTGGCAGAGAGCTCCCAAAGGTTGGCTAAGAGGCACAGTTTGTTCACAATGGGACTTGAGAAGATGGGGATTACTTGCCTTCCAAGCAATGCCGGCCTGTTCTGCTGGATGAACCTGAGAAGTTTGTTAAAAGAACAAACAGTTGAAGGGGAAATGAAGCTATGGCGTGTGATAGTAAATGAAGTGAAGCTGAATATATCCCCAGGATCATCTTTTAGCTGCAGTGAGTCAGGGTGGTTTAGGGTTTGCTTCGCTAACATGGATGATGAAACAGTGAAAGTAGCACTGAGAAGAATCGAGGTATTTGTGGGAAAAGAAGGAGAGAAAGCAAAGAATGTAATTAAACGTAGGCAACGCACGACTGGTCTGAGGGTTAATTCCTCGTCATCGAAAAGATTTGATGAGAGTTGGCTTATGTCACCTCACAGTACTCACATTATGTCTCCACATTCACCAATTCCTCACTCACCCCTTGTTAAAGTCACTTAATGGTCAAATTAGATTTAATCATTAATGTATCAGTGTATCAATATTAATCTCACTATCATCATTATATGAATGTTATTAACGGTTAAAGTTTAACTGCTGATAGATCATTTTATGAATAGTTACAAATTGTGAAGGTTCTAATATTTTTAGCTAATTTTTAGCTCATTAGTGCAATTTGGTTAGTTAAATGGTTAACTGGTTGTTTAATTAAGTAACTATGTGCTTCGGTTCAGTTTATTCTGCATATCTAGCTCTTTTTCTTTTCTTTTCTCCTTCAAAGATAAAAAAACAAATCAGATGTATTATATTCCCATGGGGTTTCCCTTCTTTTTTCCTCTTTCCTTTATTAGACTAATAGAAAACAGAACAAAAATGAAAAGCAAGAAGAAAATAAACAAAGGAAACAAGAATATAAATAGATAGAAGAAAACGGAAAGGAATAGACAAGCTAGGTAGGGAGAAGAGAGAGTACAAATTTGATGCTTATCACTGTACTACATTCTTGTCTAGATTTTTAGTAATGATTTATAACTAACATTTTGATTTCAAGACGAAAAATAATTTGTGTATTCTTAAAAAAATTCAAAAGAGATTTGTGAAATTTTAAATATAATATAGTAATAAGGTTTTCTTGAAATTTAAAATTTAAAATAATATCAACCACATGTATTTACCTATATGATCTTGCACACATGAAGATTGCGTGAAAAGTGCATCAAATAATGAATTCTTAAAATAAAACAAATTAACTCTCAACAATAAACAAAATATTACATGTTATTCCATTGTGTATTAATTAGAAGTCACCGATATATATATAGTCCAAATAATACATGTAAACCCATTGTACGTTAAGACAATAGAAAATGAATTATTGGTTGGGCCAATATATTATACTCTTCCGGTCTTAAATATAAAACCTTTATACATACTAGTATAAAAATCTTATATTTAGAACTAAAAAAATACGTAAATATATAGATGATGTGGTGGGGAACAGAGGCGAATGTGATGGAAGGAGAGATATATAATTAACGAAGTTACAGATTGAAAAGGGTATTAATGAGATGAGATTGATCGGATGTTTGTACTTGTGTTTGAAAAATGACTCCACCACAACACGAACTTTCCGACTTGCTCATTGTAGTCGTAGATATGACGGTGACCCCCCAATTCATTCTCAGCCATGTTAATTACTTCCTACCGATATAATCTTTTAATTCTTTAAACATGATTAATTAACACAAATAATTTCCTTAAGGTTTTAGTTAAAATGTTAATTTCTTGCATTTTTACGGGGGTTAATATAATCTTTAGTTCCTGAAGTTTATTCTCATCTTGATTTTAATCCATCAAATTTTAAACTATAAGTTTTGGTCCTTTAAAAAGTAAAATGATTCAAGTTTTTATTAGATTATAGAGACAAATATTTTAAATAAAATTTTTTTGAAAGAATAAATCTTATGATTTAAAATTGAAAGAACTAAAATCAAAATAAAAGTAAACTTAATGGAGCAAAATTTGTATCAATCTTATTTTTAAGTCATGTTTATAATAAGCAACGTTCAATATTATATATTCCTCCCTCTAGTGAATGAAATATAATAAACTAATTATAAATACGTACGAACATATATATATATATATATATATGTTCAATTATTAGTTGCGCACGGACGTAGGAGGCCCTTGAGAAATTGGGATGATTTCAACATCTAATCTGCAATAAAGACTGGAGAATCAAATAGACCCACGTAAACCCAAAAAAGAAATATTGAACACTCAAAGATAAGGCATGTGAAAGTGACACATGCTGTTGTTTCCTCCAAGGAGCCAGTTCGTACGTGCGGCATTACCAATATACTATAATCAAAATAGAATTATAATAAGATCTTAAAAGAAAAATAATTATCAGTAAATTTCAATAACAAGTGAGTAGTTGTTATTTAATATTATTTTGAGATTTATCATTATATGCTGTTCTCTTATTATTAAAATTTTTTAATAATTATATTTTTTTTAACTTGGAACTTCATAATAATTCTTCTTATAATCAACCTTTTGAATGGAAAGGGAAGGAGAAAAGAAGGTGATTTTTTCAACCCCCATCTATATATATCATCAGATCACATCCATGAGATCATAACTAAGATCCAATGATGAAAATCAGAAAAGACATATTGATTAGTAACCCCCTAATCAATAAAGCTGGGATGGGAGTTTGAGTTCTCTCAATTTCTTCTAGTAGGAGTTATGAGTTGCTGGGGCTGTGGGATCAGAAAATAATTAAGGAAGCAAACAAATCAAATGATATAAAATCTTAATAATATGTCTTATATTAATCTTTGATCGCGGTGACTTATGAATGTGAAAAGGGGAGAGGGGGATCAAATTATTGGATTAGGTGTTAATTAATTAGTCGAAGAGCTGGTTCGCAAAATCCCAAAACGAAATCGAGCCAGCTGCCTGGCTACTTTATAGCTCACTGTGATGTGTGACTGAGATTTATTTGGAAAGGCTGGCCAAGTGATGAAGGGAGAAAGCTTGATTATGATGTTTGACAATAACACTTCACCAAATTAAATTCGTTTGGTGAGTACTCTTATGTCATACATATATATGCGTGTGTGAATGTATATGTGCAGCTCAAGGTGGGGACAAAATTAGTCGGTTCGAGATCTAGGTATATTATAGGTAACATGGAGGATTCTAGGAAATCTAAAACGTGGGTTCGTACATTCCATGAAAAATTAATTCCATGGCCTTAGTTTTTAGAAGGGTCGTAATTTTTGTTTTAAAGAAAAACTGACTTTCATTACCCATTTATGCAAACGAAAAAAAAGTCTCTTTCAAAGCTTGACACTTTGGCAAAACCTCTTTCTAAATAAAAAAGGGAAAAAAAATTAAATTCTTATTATTTATATTGTAAAAGCTTGGATAAGTTGAGTTATGAAAAATTGCTACTAGAGTTATACTAAAATGTGCTTTTAAACTCAGAAAACACTAGAGATTACTATTCAATAAAGTTCTTATATTGAGAATGAAACTAATGGAGTGTTTAGATAAAAATCAAGTAATAGTTTTAAAAGTGATTTTATGATATACAAAATAAGTATATGAAAGAATTTTATCTTTACTTGTGTGGGGAAATCCAAACACTCCTTTTAAGCCTATAATCTTAGTTATGAGTTATATAAATAAACTTAATCAGACCATCATTTGTATCTGTTAACACTGGATTTCCTCATTTTTTATTAGAAGGGAATTGTTGACACTTTGATCCCCACCACACGTTTCAATGATCACCGCCTTAAACTGACTGGGTTGGACTGGGCATTAATCATAGAGAAAGCACAACTTGTGGGGACCTTATTCGAGACCACAGCAACTACTTGATAAAGATTTTTTTTTTGGCAATAAGTTTTCTTCCCAGTACTGCCTATGAGCATATATTTTGAAAGGCTTAAGGCTATGTTGAAATTAAGGAGGTGAAATCAATATTTTCAGTGCCTTTCTAAGTTCTAAAGAGCTCACGTAGAATGAATATTCTCTAAATATGATAAATATTATTTAAATTATGTCTCACAAGTTTTGTATTTTTAATTTTCTTTTCTTTTCTTTGCCTCGCAATACCAAACATATATATATAACAAAAATCAATAGAAGATTCAACAATTATTTGTTCAAAGTTGGGATTTAGCTGTCTTTCACTTTTGAGTTCAATCATTGATACTTATTAATAATTGAAACTACCTTAGCATCATCTACATATATATGCAAAGCATCAAATTGATTCAAATTTATAATCATTATCTAAAATCATCAAACTCACACCCATAAATGACACGAGAGCGTTCTCTTCTAGATTTATAATCATAATCTCCTTGATGTGTTTGTATCCACATATATCTCATAACTATCAATAATTTTTCTTAAGTTTTCGATTTATGATATATATATCCGAGGCATGGAGATAATAATTTTATGGCAATCTAGTGATGAGTCAATGTTTAAATTCAATAATTTTTGTACTTGGATATTTGAAGTCAAGAGCAAACTGGTCTCTATTATTGACAGATTAGATTTATATGACAATGCAAAGAAAAGGCCAAACGTTAAACTCCAAAGTCGTAAAAACCCACTTGCAGAATAGATAAAACCTCTCACCAATCAATGTTGTTAGCCTTTCATTTCATATATATGTGATTGCTAGCCCCTCTCTTCTTTCCTTTTCAGATTCAATATTTCAACATTTCGGAACTCTCTGCAAAATCTTCTCATTTTTCCACAAATTATCAGCTAGACAGAGTTATTAACATTACCACAAATGCACACACCCCTTATATATCCTATGTGCTAAATAATATATAATTTATTGTTATTCATGAATCATGAATATATATATATATATAGTTGACTCATTTCAAACCATATATATGACACAACCTGAGACAGAATTTAGTTTGAGCACATTTAATGGAAAGTCGATATAATGTACTCATTTCTTCATTTTGTGTTCCTTCTGTTCCGAAATAATGAGATAATGCAGAAGAATGACATATGATAAGAACAAACCAGTTCAAAACTAGTAGCTACTATCCAGGCTCTAATTAAGGCTCTCAATATGGAATTTGTCTTTTCAGAAAAATTTATTAGTGATAATTGTTTATTTCTTTCTTTTTTTCTGCCGTCAGAATCTGTCATAATCCAACTGTTATTCAGTTATTGTTCTGTTGATGATGAATGGCAATTAATTAATTATTTTAATTGGTCATCAAGGCTAATTAATCAGTTGATTAAATTGCACATTAACAAATTGAGAGTGACGTGAACGATTGACCCTGATTATCAACATCGAGCCCTTCCATTCCATCCGAAAGTGACACAAAAGCATATCACAATCATAGATCTTAACATAAAGGTTAAAAGATTTTTTTTTTAACACAACATATATATATGTGTGTGTATATAAATGGTCCATGCATGATTATTGATCAAGAACATCATCAGCTTAATTAACAATAATCCTAGAGAAAATAAGCTTTACAAATATTCTTTATTCACAAGATCTCTTGCTAATATTGCCATTAATTAACTACTCTGATTAATAGTTCTAGGTTCTAACAACTATCCTAATGATTATATAGAAATATTTTTCAAATGGAATGGATAGCTTCCAATATTCCTTCAGTCACAGGATAATTATATTAAAGAAAAATAGACACATTCATGTTAAATAAGGATCGATGTTATTACTTCCGGTCTTAATGATAACATCTCATTTGTAGACTACAAACTACAAACGAAGTCTTATAATTAGGATCAGAGATAGACTCAAATGAGAACTTATAATTAGAATTGGAGATAGTATATGTGTATAAAATTCATACCTCTTAATTTAATTACCTCTCTCCAAAAACTGAAATAACTACAAACGAGATCTTATAATTAGGATTGGAGATAGACTATAAATGAGGTCTTATAATTAGAATTGGAAGTAATATATGTGTATAAAATTTATACTTCTTAGTTTAATTACCTGTCTCCAAAAACTGAAATGATTCAAATTCCCTCACCACTCAGCTTAATTTTCTTCCTCCAAAATTTCTTTTATGGTTCTTTTTAGCAAACAAAATTTTTATTTAAAATTAAGAACGGCCACCTCAATTGGCGAGCCCATATATATAGTCAATGTCAACACACACGTGGGAGCGCAGAAACAGCAACATTACCTGCAGACAATTATTTCATAGTCCAAATGATTGACAATTATTTTTTTTCATTATTATTTTTTCATTCTGTCAACATATACCCCACTGTTACTTTGATCTGATGTACTACATTTTCCTTCATCACTATTGCAGGAAGCTACAGTCCGGTTAATTTCTCTCTGCAAATGTATTATAAAACCTCCACTTGAATTTATCATGAATTTAGTCCCTTGAGATTCTTTCCAATAATTTAGCATTTTGTAATATCGCCAAACCCCTGGTGCCCGAGGGGCATATATACTTTCCTATAAACAGGACATCGCGCGCGGGTTCAGTCCATTGCTAACCTCATTTTAACTTCAAAATGTCTTTTATAAAGTTTATGGCAAATTGTACTGCCTCTGTTACTTAATATAAAAACTTGTTTAATTTTTATTTTGATAACAAATATGAAATCTCAATCTACTCTATCTTTCATATTTATTTATTTTTTTAAGATAGTCCTTGTAATAATGATAGTTCTAGCCAATAAACTTGATTAGCAAGAATATTTTAGGAAAGACAACATATATTTATTACAAATAACTAACTTAACTGGTTTTATTGATCTACTTAAATTAGTCAACTAACTCTTATATTAAGGACCAGAAGTAGTTTACTTATATATACTATCTTTGATTCTTAGCATAAGAGCTAGTTGATTAATTTGAGTAAATTAAGAAAGTTTGTTAAGTTAGTTATTTGTAATAAGTAAGTGTTGTCTTTTTTGGAATACCTTGCTAATTATGTGTATCGGCTAAAACCGTCATTTGATAAAATCTTTAATTTGAAAAAATAAATAAATATGAGAGACAAAAATAAATTAGGGTTTTATATTTATGGTCAAATTAAAAAAAAAAAACTAGTAAAGACAGGAGGTAGTAATTCTTAAGCACAACAGCTTTCTATAGTTAATATATTGGTGTACCAATTAATTCAGATTCAACCATTATCAAGTCCAAAAGTTCAAATAGAAGCAACTCCCTCTGGGTCTCATTATTTCTATATAGTATACAGTTTAAATAGTTTTAAGTTGATAATCTCCGTTTTTTTTCCATCCATAGGTGGCTCATTCCAAGTTTTATATATATATATATATATATATTTATATATATATAAAAGAAGCTTACGCAAACTATGTTGATGATATGACCATCGTCACTGTCATTAGTTTGCTCATCACCACAAATGTAAATTGTTGAGTTATTTACCTTATCGAGTGTCGGTCACCATGAGCCTCCAACTTTGAAAGCAGTCTTTTCACCGTGCATAGCTCACACGACAGCCTATAAATTCCCAGCTTCTCTTGCAATTCACTCATCACATTTCTTCAGTAATCTTCATTATTATCACCTTCTTCTCTTACTCTTACACCTAATTAAATACATAGACCCTTCGCTACACTTCAAACTTCAAACATGGGTTTGGCAAGTGAGAAGCGTCAACTTCTGTCAAAGGTGGCAATGAACGAGGGACATGGAGAGAACTCTGCTTATTTTGATGGATGGAAGGCTTATGAAAGAGACCCATTTCACCCCAAAAACAATCCTCACGGTGTTCTCCAGATGGGTCTTGCAGAAAACCAGGTTTATATTTATATACACACACGTCATGCGGCAGAATCATTATATATGCATGCATAGCACAATGATTTGCAGGTGTTTGATGAGTTGACTGACTCATATATATGGTTTTATTTTCATTTTCTTTACTGTCAGCTCTCTTTTGATCTGATACAAGAGTGGATAAGGAATAATCCAGAGGCCTCCATTTGCACTCATGAGGGACTTGATCACTTCAAGGACATCGCTATCTTTCAGGACTATCATGGCCTTCCCAAGTTCAGAGAGGTGTGTGTGTGCGCGTGTATGCAAATTAATGCCCTTACAGCTTACTCATCAGAGATACTTCAAGCTTATTGATTGACTGAGTTTATATAAAATGGGTTACCTTTTGTGATTGTGCAGGGTGTGGCAAATCTGATGTCAAAAGTGAGAGGTGGTAGAGTAAAATTTGACCCTGACCGTATAGTGATGAGTGGAGGGGCCACAGGAGCTAATGAACTCATCATGTTCTGTTTGGCTGATCCTGGAGATGCTTTTCTTCTTCCCACTCCTTATTATCCAGCGTATATCCCCTCTCCGTCCTAATATTGACAAAGTGAATATATATGCACACACAAATATAATGAAAAATATGACCCTTCAGTAACATAATTGGAGAGAGAGAAAATAAAGTAGCAGGGTACGATTGAAAAATACAGTTCATACACACACATGTACGGTTCTGTTCTTTCATGTACCTTGTCTTAATGCATGATATCGGAACGTAGAAGATTCCGTAATTAGGTAGGACCACTTTAATTGAAGAGACAGATATGGAGAAGTGAGATCTATCTACTTCATCTCTGTAGGTCTCAGATTGGTGGGCTCTACTTTTTCATCTCTTTTTCTCTCATCTTAACTTAGTTACCGGCCAACTTGGCTGTGTCGAGAGAAGAGACTTGAGAGTTTAACAGAGTTACTAATTATGGCTAAATGATTTATGTTTACTGTGTTGAGTGGCCTGTCATGACTTGAGGATGATATAATTGCTCATAAATACTTCATGCTGTACTGCAGATTTGTACGTGATTTGTGTTGGCGAACTAGGGCACAAATAGTTCCAGTCCACTGTGACAGCTCCAACAATTTCAAGATAACCAGATCAGCCCTTGAAGAAGCCTACAAGAAAGCCCAAGAAGAAAACCTCAACGTGAAGGGCTTGCTCATAACGAACCCATCAAACCCTCTGGGCACCACTTTAGACAAAGAAACCCTGAAAAGCCTTGTCAACTTCATCAATGAAAAGAACATACATTTAGTGTGTGATGAAATCTATGCAGCCACTGTGTTCAATCCCTCCAGCTTCATAAGTGTCTCTGAGGTCATCCAAGATATGGAATCCTGTAACAAAGACCTCATCCACATAGTTTATAGTTTGTCAAAGGACTTAGGCCTTCCTGGTTTCAGAGTTGGGATTGTTTATTCATACAACGACACTGTCGTTAGCTGTGGCCGCAAAATGTCAAGCTTTGGGTTGGTGTCCTCACAGACCCAGCACATGCTGGCTGCAATGCTTTTAGATAATGATTTTGTCGATAAGTTTCTGGCAGAGAGTTCCAGAAGGTTGGCAGAGAGGCACAGTTTGTTCACAGGGGGACTTGAGAAGATGGGGATTACTTGCCTTCCAAGCAATGCGGGGCTGTTCTGTTGGATGAGCTTGAGAAATCTGTTAAAAGAACAAACACTGGAAGGCGAAATGATGTTGTGGAATGTGGTAGTGAATGAAGTGAAACTGAATGTATCTCCTGGTTCATCTTTTAGCTGCAGAGAACCAGGGTGGTTTAGGGTTTGCTTCGCCAACATGGATGATGAAACAGTGAAAGAAGCATTGAGAAGAATCAGAGCATTTGTGGGAAGAGAAACAGAGAAGAAAGCAGCAAAGAAGATGAAACGCAGGCACAGTGTGAGCATGAGGGGAAGCTTCTCCACAAGAAGATTTGATGAAACTGTAATGTCACGTCACAGAATGTCCCCACACTCACCAATTCATCACTCACCTCTTGTGAAGGCCACTTGATCAGAGTTATCATGCACACAACAAATCAAATCATTTTGCCTCTTTCAGTTTGTGACTGCAAATTGAATTGCTTCAATGATAACAATTAACTATAATTATTTGAATGTGTTCACGGAACAGAGATGCCCACATGCAACGTGGCCCTTTTGTTTATCTGGCATTTTTGTTTTAAGCATATGTATCTTGGTGATATCAGAATATCCCCTTCAAATTATTCAGCTGTTTTTAATAATGTGTTTCTTCTGAGAATCAATCAGAAATTAAGTTAATGGTTAGAAAAAGTATTGACTCTGAAGTCAGCCTTCACTTTCTTTAAGGGAAAAAGATGATACCTATATCAATGGGAATTTCCTTATAATAAAGAAACACTGTTCTTATGTAAACCACATAGATCAACAATTTTTCTTTTTAAAAAAAACTGAAAACGAGATCAGAACCCACTGCCAATAATCTTGGAAAGAAAACGAGACATGCACTATAAAATTTCTTGACAATAGTAAGTCAGCCTTAAACGCAACCTTAGTTTCTTTAAAAAGCAAAAAAATGAATGACAATAGAAAAACAGCAAATTAAGTCAGCAAATATATTATTCAAATATAATAGAAAGACATAACAGGGATATAAATCAGACACAAGATAAACAATATAGCAACTTGTTGATTTTCTTTCTTTTTTTAAAAAAAAATTGGAATTTTATTGTATTGAATACTTCCGGTTTTCCACGTTATATTTATTACAGGTTGCTTTAATTTATTCAAGGGATGATGCATGATTGGGTGATTGATCAGAGTAAAGTTGCTCAAAATACAAATTATTATTTTGACATTCAAACCCAAGATGGCTATAATTTATTAATTATTGTACTCTAGCAAGTAGCAAGGCTTAAAAAATGCACCATTGGCAGCCAAAAATTTTTTGGTGATTTTGCACTAATCATTGGAAGACAGACATTCGTCGGCCTTGTTTGGAAAGGCGGGATGAACCCATCCCAAACTCTATAGTGTGGGGAAGAAGCCATTGTATTTTGGAAATTTTTAAGAATAATTTTTAAGTTGTATAAATGTCTTGTCTTTCTAATTTTATAAAAAAAAATGTTTAAGTTAATTTGGTCTCTTAGTTCGAAAGTAGACAGTGTCGTCTTGTATTCTAATAAAATAAAATAACGCAATCCGCTCATCAATTTCAAAAGTCAAACAAAATTTTAATATTGAATATAGATACATAATATTATTAAAAAAATAACTCGAAGTCAATTATGATATATCCAAGTCAACATGCTTCAAATTTGGTGACTATGTACGTTACAAGTTCTAATAGAAACATAACTGCTAAAGCAAACATTTTTTTTACAGACACGATCTCGTGACGACAGGAAAAACAACAAAGTAGCTCGTTATATTTTGTTGTACCAACTAACATTTATTATACTTTTCCGGTCTTAAATATAAAACTCATTTTATAGTCTAATTGATTACACTATAAAATGGGTCTTATATTTAGAATTGGAGGAGTAT